ATATACTTTTGTTGCATAGAAAATCTGAACCGATTCCAATCATAGATCAATGGTCTGATTAGTCTTGCCCTGCCCCTCCACAGGTAGCGAAGGGCAGGACGAAGCTATATTCCGATTAAATCTGGAATTTTTTAATTTGTTCAAAAATGGGCCCAAAGTCCCTGTATTAGAAGTCAAAAAGAAGTATGGCTGCAATTGGTTCATGGTTTTATGTGCATGTATATAGCTACTGTATAAAAGCAGTTAAAACAATGCATGTTATGTATAAAAACCAGGAGGCTATAAAGTCTGGCCCCTATATACCACTACTAGGAGACCAGAGTGACTTTCTCCCTTTCCTATTGACTGCAGTCAATAAAGTCTTCAAGATTATTTCATTTTTAATGACAAACATCTTAACTTTTACTAAACTCAACTAATATAGATACATGCACATCTTCACATAAAATTGGAACCTTAAAAATTAAAATTTTAATTAGAATTTCTATACAACATATTTTGTATAATTAATTATAAAAAGATGTGTGCACGTGATGGCTCATTTAGCAGTGCTGCACAGCAGTAGTTGTAGAACTGGCAATGACAGTTCAAATCGTCATAAATACATGCAATCAAAATTTAAAAGAATTATTTTTCAAAAAAATAAAACTAGTATATAAATCTCTAGCTTCAGTCTTGAGAATCCACTTCACATTTCATTTTTATTGCAGCTTGAACCTATCAATGATAATATTAAATTCCTTACACAAGCTTACTGTTATTATTGTTATTCTTCTTTTTGTATGTAGTGCTCTTAGCATCACTAGCAGTAGTAACCACTAGTGATCCCAGGCAGCGCCACGTGGAGGCGGCACTACATTGCTGCCCAAAAATAGAAACAACCTGAGGCCCTAGTCAAGCGGCTGACACTCGCAGGCCGCATGACTACTGAGGCCCCAGGTCGTAAAAAATAATAATAAAGAATAATAATAAATAATAAAAATAACAAATTATAAACGATAATAATAATTAAATAATAATAAATCATAAAACCTAGATCTATAACCTATACCTACACTATATAACCTGTATCCTATAACTACCTGTTTCCTAATTTCTATACTATAACTACCTTCTAATTTCTACTATATAACACCTACACCATAACCTAATATAACTATACCTGCCTCCTAATTTCTACTACAATACCTATACTATACCTATAACTACCTTCTCACTTCTACACATAACCTATATCCTAGGTATCACTACATGTTTCCTATAATTATTTATTACACTACACTGTATAACCTGTATACCTAACACTACACGTT